TTTTTTTTTTTTTTTTTTTTTTGTCTGAAGTCAAGGTTTTCCTACTCTCTATATAAAACCAATTGAAAATTATACCAAATTCATGGTTTTCAGGTATTCTGATATTTTCCAACTTGCACTCTAAGTATAAAAAGCTTTTGGGAAATTAAAAAGACAGTATTTTTTTTTTTTTTTTGGGGGGGGGGGGGGGGATTTATGGGCCTTTAAATTTACCTGAACAATGGTCTTAATGGGCCTTTAAATTAACCTGAAATCATATGAGAAAACCAGGTTCTGAATAGGCCTTTAAATTAACATGAAATCATATGAGAAAACCAGGGTCTTAATGGGCCTTTAAATTATCTGAAATCATAAAAGCAACTAAAGTCTTAATGGGCCTTTAAATTAACCTAAAATCATATAAGAAACAATGTTCTAATGGTCCTTTAAACTGAAATCATATAAGAAAACAATGCTCTTAATAGGCCTTTAAATTAACCTGAAATCATGTAAGAAACAACAGTCTTAATGGGCCTTTTAATTAACTGAAATCATATAAGAAACAAGGGTCTTAATTGGCCTTTAACCTGAAACCATATAAAAAAACAAGAAAAAACAAGAAATATGATATGATTATTAAATGATATTTCAGATAGAGATTGAAAGAATAAGTTTAGAGAAGAGACAAGAGTTAGAGGAATTACAGAAAAATGATCTGAGACAACATGAGGACACACTTCTAGAAAATATGCTTGGCTTTACACGTATATTCAAACTTATGACACAGTTAAAAAAGGTAAGAATTTAGACTTGATCTTCAGTTTTAAAGGAATTCCACCGAGGTCCAAAAGTCTGAACGCGTTGATCAGCTGGGGCACTTAAAGCAGAAAGATGTGCAGACGAAAGTATACTCAGAAATAAATTTAAAATAATATTTTTATGATATTTTTAGCCTGATTGATATAAAAAGCATTGCAATGCTTTTTAGTCCCCTACCGGTTTACCGGAGGGGACTTTAGGTTTACCCTCTGTCCGTCTGTCCGTCTGTCTGTCCGTCCGTCCGTCCGTCAGTCCGTCCGCACTCACAGGAGAGTAATTATGTGGCTAGAGGGACAATAGGTAACTGTTCTTTCTCTTTGATGTCATTCATTCTGTAATGCTTTTATGTGGCTATTTTCTTTTGTGTGGCTAAAAAGAACAATAGAGAGAACAATAGAGTAGCCACATAATTACTGTCCTGTTAGAACGTCCGTCTGTCCGTCCGTCAGTCAGTCCGTCCACAAAACTGGATCCCGCGATAACGCAAAAAGTACTGAAAATATTTTTATGAAACTTGATATATGGATAGATGGCAGTATGGAGATTATGCACGTCTTTTTCTTTTCTTCCTATGTGGAAAATTCTGGTTGCTATAGCAACAAATCGACTGAAAATATGGCAAATTTTACACATAACCTGGATCCCGCGATAACGCAAAAAGTACTGAAAATATTTTTATGAAACTTGATATATGGATAGATGGCAGTATGGAGATTATGCACGTCTTTTTCTTTTTTTCCTATGCTGAAAATTCTGGTTGCCATGGCAACAAATAGACTGAAAATATGGCAAATTTTACACAAAACCTGGATCCAGTGATAATGCAAAAAGTACTGAAAATATTTTTATGAAACTTGACATATGGGTAGATGGCAGTCTGGAAATTATGCACACCCTTTTCTTATCTTCCTATGTTGAAAATTCTAGTTGCTATGGCAACAAATGGACTGAATTTCAAGATTTCTAATTCTAGTTTTTTAAGTTTTTTCACTATAAGTTCTTTATTTCTTAAGGTATTATCTTCAAACTTTAAATATAAGTTGCTAGTCATCAACCACATCATATGTGACAAAGTTTACAACTCTAGCACAAAATTTATTAGAATTACCTCCCTTGAACTTAAAATTTTCATGAAAAAAAAAATTGTTTTTTTTAATAACTTCTTTTTTTCTGAATGTATCTACTTCAAACTTCATATATATGTTTCTTATAATCACTTAACATTTGTGAGAAAGTTCAATACTCTAGCAAGACTATTTCCAGAATTATGCCCCTTTTGAACTTAGACTTTTTTGCGAGAAATTGGTGATTTTTACTTCAACTTCTTCAGTCATGATAGGATTTTCTTCAAAGTCCGACGTCATAATAATTTGACAAGGTTTATAAGTCTAGCATCCATATTTCCAAAGTTATCTCCTCCTTAAACTTTTAATTTTTCTTATTTGTTCTTTTAACTTTCATTTACTTCAAATTAAAAATAACCATTCTTTATTCATATGTTCATTACAAATTGTTCTTTGTTACACTTACATCAGTTATGACATCTTGCATCTTTATTTCAAGAGTTATCTCCTTTTTAAAAATTTTGCTTTTAAAAATGTTATATTTTGATAACAGGGATGTTTAAAAAATAACTGTAGAGTGTCCTTCAGTCCATCTGTCTGTACATAAAAACTGTTTCCTGTGATCACTTTTAAAGAACTTTTTCAACAAATTTACTTGAAATAGAAACATAAGTGAATTGCCAATGGCCCTTCAGAATGTTGCTGGGGTTCTAACCGGTAGGGGACTTATGGATTGCTTGCAATACTATGATAATTGCTTGTTATGTTTGGGTCACTTTTTACAGTTAGAATAATTATTCTGGAAAAAATGAAGTGAGTGATTGATTTGAAATTGCATACACAAGTTATATATATTAAGTTAATATTATTCTCGAAAAAATATTTTTGTCTTTTTTTCTGTTTTAATTGATCTTTTTTTTAGTTTCATCAATCTTTTTGTTAGTTTCATCAATCTTTTTGTTAGTTTCAGCTATAACTGGTGTTTCTGTATGTTTTATATTTCCAGCCACTGCTAGGACATAACTGTTTGATGGACTTGATGCTGATTTATGATAAATTTTACAACCCTCTACCTCAGTCATATACAGAATTTAAGACAAATCTTCATTCACTCTTCCCAACTGTGTTTGACACTAAGCATATAGTTTTAAGTATGAGAAGGGTAAGTAATGTTCTTTGGTTGCAAAATATTGTTCATTTTTAGCTCGACTATTCGAAGAATATGAGAGCTATTGCAGTCGCCCCGGCGTCGGCGTCGGCGTCAGCGTCCGCGTCGGCGTCTGCATTGGTTAAAGTTTTTTGTAAATTCAAATATCTCAATTATTGCTTGAGATATTCAATTGAAACTTACAATACTTATTTATAGTAACAATGTTCATCAGATTGACAGGTTGGATAACTCTGTCTACAATATTGACAGAATTATGCCCCTTTTTAACTTAGACATTTTGGTTAAAGTTTTTTGTTAAGTCAAATATCTCAATTATTGCTTGAGATATTCAATTGAAACTTACAATACTTATTTATAGTAACAATGTTCATCAGATTGACAAGTTGGATAACTCTGTCTACAATATTGACAGAATTATGCCCCTTTTTAACTTAGAAATTTTGGTTAAAGTTTTTGTTAAGTCAAATATCTCAATTATTGCTTGAGATATTCAATTGAAACTTGCAATACTTATTTATAGTAACAATGTTCATCAGATTGACAAGTTGGATAACTCTGCCTACAATATTGACATAATTATGCCCCTTTTTAACTTAGAAATTTTGGTTAAAGTTTTTTGTTAAGTCAAATATCTCAATTATTGCTTGAGATATTCAATTGAAACTTGCAATACTTATTTATAGTAACAATGTACATCAGATTGACAAGTTGGATAACTCTACCTACAATATTGACAGAATTATGCCCCTTTTAACTTAGAAATTTTGGTTAAAGTTTTTTGTAAAGTCAAATATCTCAATTATCGCTTGAGATTTTCAATTTAACCTTACAATACTTATTTATAGTAACAATGTTTATCAGTTTGCAAAATCGCATAACTCTGCCTGCAATATTTGCAGAATTATTTGTTTTGAAACTTAGAAATTTTGGTTAAAGGTTAAAGGTCTTCAAAGATATTTACTTGAAACTTTACACATGTACTTAGGGTCATAATTGGAGGGTCATAATTATTGTATGTCACTGACCAAGTTCCATAACTGTACTCGCATTAAGGCTGATTCATCTCCCCTTTTCTACTTAGTCTCCTGGTTAATGTTTACATGCAAGTTTTACATATCTCAATAACTATTAAAGATATTTATTTAAAACTTCACATATGCATTTAGAATCATAATTGTAGGTCACTGACCAAGATCCATAATTCTATCTTGCATTTAGGCTGATTTTTCTCCCCTTTTTCAACTTAAAAATTCCTGGTAAAGTTTTGCTTGTAAGCTGTTATGTCCATAACTACTGAAGAGTTTGTGCCTTTTTGGGACATTTTTATGCATTCATAATAATAAAGCAGTGATTTACTTGATAAAACATCTTAATATCAAGCCTTTGTACCTTTTTCAGTCAATTTTATATATTCATAAGCAATTAGCATTATTATACTCAATAAAACACCCTTGTGACAATTTTTGGATAGTCAGTACTGGCTTGACTATTCAAAAATTGTCACAATGGTGAGTATAATAATTCTAATTACTGACTTAGAATTTACGTTCAAGTTGCATACCACCTCAGATATTTTCCTATTCCATTGACATCTCGCTTTGAAACAAGTTGAAATTTTATGCACTTCTTTAAAAGCATAATAGGACTCTCCCGAAGACCTATAGCCGTAACATGGATTTAAAGAAAAATTTGGCCCTTTTGTTAATTTAGAAAATGTTACATTATCAAGGCTCTTTTAATATCAAACACTTAGAATAGTCGAGCATGCTGTCCTACTGACAGCTCTTGTAACATGTAGAATACTTTTTTGGTAGTAAATTTGTGAATGTATTCTGAAAGTTATCAACTTAAGTTATCAACAATTTTATTAGTGAAAATATAATTCATATCGCACCACAACCAGTAAAATTCATGTGTTATAGTTTTGTTACTGCCCTGTATATTGAAAGAAACTGCAAAATAAAGGGCACAAGAGATTAAAGATTTCCAAGATCTTATGATATAGTCACACCATTCAGCATAATTCTATGCTATACTGGAAAATATATATATCTCCTGTGACCAAAACACTAAAAGCAAAACTCATGCAATATAGAATAACATAAAATTATGGCCGTCATTGGTGGACTATTTTTGTATCAAGATGTCAAAACAATAATTGATAAGGTGCTAGCCAAGTATGACACAGGTTTTGCAATTGTGTATGAGTCCAATAGAATCTGTATTGTTCTCATCAATGTATAATAACCTATTTATTTCACACCAAATTTGACATTTTTACAGAACTTGTTACTTGAAGAATAATACAATAAGGATTTGATACGGATTTTTGGACTCTAATAAATGAAAACGAAACTGGATTGAGTATCATGGTCATTTGATATAGATTTTTTGGACTTTGGAACTTGCAAATGAAAATGATGCAAAGTGGGGTACGATATGCATTTGATATGGACTTGGGAATGAAAACATGGCCAATGTGATAAGATTGGATCCAATAATCATAATGATTTCTGTTGAAACAACTTGCCTGTTGCAAACCCTGAATGTTCATTGGTTATAATTTATAAGGTGTGGAATAATATATTGTACAGGATATGGCACAGACGGGGATGCTGCAGCAAACAAGCTTAGGTGAACTTTATACAGATTTAGAAAGGTAAATCAGCTGATCATCTTTGATTTCTTTATAGGTTTTATTTTTAGTATACAATTCTTGTTTTCATGTGAGATATCTATCGTGCTAGGTAATGGAAGGCCGGTGGTTCTACCAGATGCCTGGTTGTGTCTTAAATAATGCATGGAGGAGAACATGAAAGCTTACTTCGCTAGTTGATGTGGAATATAATAATATAATCTTAGCAGTATCTTTGTGACTAAAATGTCATTATGTAATTATTATAGATTTAATTGTACAAAAACAATAAAGGCAGGTTATGTTTTAACTATCTTTTGATGTTATAATGTTTCATGTAGCCTGCATTAGTTGAAAAGTTTATGTTAAGGTACACAATTTATACAATTTCTTTACAATTGGTTACTTAAGCCCTTCTTACGTTTTATTTTGAAGTAATGAAAAAGCCTTTATTCAGGGTTATCTTTGTATTGATTTTGGCCATAATTATATTATTTTAATGTGTATTTATAGCAAGAAAGGACAAACAATAGTGTTACATTCACCTGTAGTTAACCATGCCGAGGGATTTGACAGATATAGTGAGTGTATAAAATATATTTATTTATGAAACAAACAATATGTCTGTCTGCTCAGCTTAATTATATAAGAGAGAGCTTTGGATAAGTAATCCAAGAATTGCTGCTCCAATCATTAGATGAGGCGTAATTTCTCTGTGACAGTTGATCATAGACATTGCGTCTAAATTGGTCATTTATCTGTCACTGCTGACTCAGAAATCTGGTGGCTATGTAGCAGTCAGTTTTATAGAAATTGGTAATTACTGATTAGATATACATAAAAATTGGTTTTACTGGCGAGATATTGCCAAAACATGGTGAAATTGACTTAAAACACCCGAGAAACAAACAAACAAAGTAGTCAAGTGCATGTGTTCCTCAAGGTCTCTCAGCTGTTAAGTTTTTACCCAAAGGCCAGATCCATGCAGAGGCTTTTAGTTAGGTGGGAAGATAGAGGAAGATATGTCTATATGGAGCGTGGGACAGTTAGCTGGTCATTTTACCACCTGACTTTCCTCACATAACATGGTTTTTTTCCAGAGGTTTTACAATGCAGTAGTTTAAGTCCCTGCTATACCTTGGTATTGGAGTGAAGTTACAATAAACTGATGCATTATGACAGTTTGAATAAATGATTTAAAACAGCATTATTTCAGAATCATGTTAAATTTATTAACCAGGTTTTCAACGAAAACCTGGTTATTTTTTATGCTGAAGTCGGCGGGCGGGCGGGCGTCAACTTTTGGTTTCCGCTCAATAACTTTAGTTTGCTTTGGCCTATTGACACCAAACTTGGTGTGTAGGTAGCTTATATCAAGAGGCAGCTTGGGATTGCTACCCAGGTGTCTTTGATCAAGGTCAAGGTCACTGTTACTAAAAATAGAAATTCAGTTTCCGCTCAATAACTTCAGTTTGCTTTGGCCTATTGACACCAAACTTCTTGTATCGATAGGTTATATCAAGAGGCAGCTTTGGATTGCTACCCAGGTGTCTGTGATCAAGGTCAAGGTCACTGTTACTAAAAATAGAAATTCAGTTTCCGCTCAATAACTTAAGTTTGCTTTGGCCTATTGACACCAAACTTGGTGTATGGATAGCTTATATCAAGAGGCAGCTTGGGATTGCTACCAAAGTGTCTGTGATCAAGGTCAAGGTCACTGTTACTAAAAATAGAAATTCAGTTTCTGCTCAATTACTTAAGTTTGCTTTTGCCTATTGACACCAAACTTGATGTATGGATAGCTTATATCAAGAGGCAGCTTGGGATTGCTACCAAGGTGTCTGTGATCAAGGTCAAGGTCACTGTTACAAAAAATAGAAATTCAGTTGCAGTGCTATAACTTGAGTTTGCTTTGGCTTATTTACACCAAACTTGGTGTATGGATAGCTTATATCAAGAGGCAGCTTGGGATTGCTATCCAGGTGTCTTTGATCAAGGTCAAGGTCACTGTTACTAAAAATAGAAATTCAGTTTCCGCTCAATAACTTGAGTTTGCTTTGGCCTATTGACACCTAACTTGATGTATGGATAGCTTTTATCAAGAGGCAGCTTGGGATTGCTACCAAGATGTCTGTTATCAAGGTCAAGGTCACTGTTTCTGCTCAGTAGCTTGAGTTTGCTTTGGCCTATTGACACCAAACTTGGTGAATGGATAGGTTATATCAAGAGGCAGCTTGGGATTGCTATCCATGTGTCTGTGATCAAGGTCAAGGTCACTGTTACTAAAAACAGAAATTCAGTTTCTGCTCAATAACTTGAGTTTGCTTTTGCCTAATGACACCAAATTTGACGAATGGATAGCTTATATCATGAGGCAGCTTGGGATTGCTACCCAGGTGTCTGTGATCAAGGTTAATGTACATGTATTTAGTTTTCATGTTATAACTTGAGTTTGCTTTGACCTTTTGATACCAAACTTTCCGAGTGGAGCTTTGGTTTGCCATTTAAGATATCTGGGAGCAAGTTCAAGGTCATTTGCTTACAATAGAATTTTCAGCTTCTACTCAATAACTTCAGTGCTTTTTGACCTATTGATTGCTGTCACATCAAAACTTGGTTGTTGAAAACCTGGTTTTCGTCGCATTGCGGCGCTTCTTGTATGAAAATTCAGAATGTTTTGTTTTTGAAAATTAGCATGTTGTTATATGGAATGGCAATAGAAACTCAATGTTTATTTTTCTCATCTTATCAAGAGGTACTAATATTCTTTTAAAATAACAACTTTGTAAATATTTAAAAAGTTTAATAAATGCAACACTCGAGTATGAATAGTACTGCACTTTAAAGCTATAAAAGTAGAGGTTTGTTTTTACTTCATGATCAGATGGGAAAAAATCCACACTTGACGAGTTCCGGATAACATCTATTGGGTATTGTTAGCAGGGCGAAGTCAGGCAAAATATTGTCACTTCGCCCTTTATGATCGGAAAAGCGAAATTCTAGTCGCCCTAAAATCTCTATGAAAGGTCTGTTCGACATGTATATTTCACCACGCTGTCTGGATAATACTGCCTGGAGGCAGATTTAATTGTGTAATCTGACGTAAGTAGCACATGCGCTTAAGCGTGGCCATAGCGACAATTGGAATTCACACTTGGAAATCCACATCGCTAAAAATAGCGCATTGATTGTACGTAAAATTTTCGGTAAATTAAAGCTGTGAAAGACCCTGATATGAATGCAGCAGATGATAAAAAGCTAGCTAATTGATAATTAAGTTACCTCAAACGTATTTATTTGTGTCTTATTGACAATATCCACTACACGTTTTGTTTGATTTACAATATTCCCTAAACGTTCTGTTTGATTTACAATTTCCCCTATATGTCTTGTTTGATTTACAATATCCCCTATATGTTTGCCTGTCCATTCTTGTTATCAACATTACATTTATGATAGTAATTAATTACAACTGTATATTATGCCTATACAAATGTAACAATAATATTAATCATTAAAACTGATGCAAATTGATAGAATTTGGATAATTATTATGAATTAAAGAACTTTTCTTCTTAATTAATTGCATTTAAAGTTAGAGTCAGAAACTTTTGAACCTAAAAAAAATTTGTGTTGATGTAAATCAAATGCTTAAATAAACTTCATTGAGCAACTAGTACTTCATTAATATCATCATAGCGACTTTCAAATACACATTTGTTTAATCTGTGCCATACACATGTATATTTTATGTGCATGTACATATAAAGGTGTACATGTTTATTTTGTGAAATAAAATTAGAAAAAAATCCAATGATATAACTCGATTTGATGATCACTTCTCCCTAAATTTCAAAACTTCTCCCTATTTTTCCTGATGGGAGAAGTCACTTCTCCCTAAATTTTCAGTCCAAGGTAGTCCCTGATTGTTAGTAATATACAGTGATCTTAATCATGACAAAAGTAAGATAAACAAACTATTTTATTGTAGTTATTAGTCCCCTACCGGTTTAACCGGAGGGGACCTTAGGTTTACCCTCCGTCCGTCTGTCTGTCTGTCTGTCTGTCTGTCAGTCCGTCAGTCCGTCCGTCCACAAAACTGGATCCCGCGATAACGCAAAAAGTACTGAAAATATTTTTATGAAACTTGATATATGGATAGATGGCAGTATGGAGATTATGCACGTCTTTTTTTTTCTTCCTATGTTGAAAATTCTGGTTGCTATGGCAACAAATAGTCTGAAAATATGGCAAATTTAACACATAAACTGGATCCAGTGATAACTCAAAAAGTACTGAAAATATTTTTATGAAACTTGAAATATGGGTAGATGGCAGTCTGGAGATTATGCACATCTTTTTCTTTTCTTCCTATGTTGAAAATTCTGGTTGCTATGGCAACAAATAGCCTGAATTTCAAGATTTCTGATTTAAATTTTTCAGCTTTTTCACTATATGTTCTTGATTTCTTAAGGTGTTTACTTCAAACTTTAAATATAAGTTCCTGGTCATCAACCACATCATATGTGACAAGGTTTATAACTCTAGCACAAAAAATATCAATATTACCACCCTTGAACTTAGATTTTTTAGGGGAAAAAATGTTGTCTTTTTTAAATAACTTCTTTATTTCCTAATGTATCTACTTCAAACTTCATATATATGTTTCTTATTATCACTCAACATTTTTGAGAAGGTTAAATACTCTAGCAAGACTATTTCCAGAATTATGTCCCCCTTGAACTCGGATTTTTTCGAGAAACTGGTATTTTCACTCCAACTTCTTCATTCCTTATAGGATTTACTTTAAAATCCCACATCGTAATAATATGACAAGGTTGTATAAATATTATTTCCTTACTAGGCATGGAAACTTAACACATTACTGTGATATAGACAAACTTATTTTATTATGTTTTGTGGTCGATATTTTTAAATACAGACTTCATCCTTAAATTCATTATAAATGGCAATACACAGGAGTGTATGACAATTAAAGAACTTTTTGAGGGACCGGTAGGGGACTACTGTATTGCCCGCAATACTATCAAATGCTTGTATTTGTTACATTCTGTTCTAGTTAATGTTTAGTTTGTTTTGATGCTTTTCTTCAGAATCTGATGAGTTACCACATGAAGCAGGTTTTGACGCGTATATGTGCGGAGTTGGTAAGCATTACTCTTGAATGATAAAGCTTTCAGACTGTTTACATTGTAGTATTGTCCATCCATTACTGTATAAGTGGTTAAATTAGCAACACGGAAATATTGGGGAATTTTGCAACTGGTGGAAAATTGCTAAAATTGCCTCTAGTATAAATGTCGACCAACCTTATAATAATTTCTACACTTGCACATTTTCCTTATATATCCTTGCACAAAATGTCTTGAATTTTAAATTTGCTAACTTTTTCGCGGAAATATCCACTTATTCAGTAAATAATTGTTACTGCTACCGACATAAAACAGTTCTACAATTTCTGAAATGCACTCCTAAAACTTTATTCTAAGTATTAATTTTCTTTAAGCCACATATTGATAATGGTTCAACTTGTTTATCCTGTCTGTGCTTAAAGTGAATACTATGCAGAATGCATAATGTTTGTTTACAAAAGCTTTGGTATTATTACAATTATGTATCGAAACAACGACTTGTCCTTGTTGCATAATGTTTGTTTACAAAAGCTTTGGTATAATTACAATTATGTATCGAAACAACGACTTGCCATTGTTGGGATGTGAACCCACAAGGCCAGCAGTCCTGAGAGTACTTGGTCATACTTAGATTACTAGTCTGATGTGTTAAGCACTCAACTGATGAACCTTATATGTCAGATTCCTGTTTATATCATGGTTTGAGAGTTTGGACCCAAATTTGACCTTTATTATAGTATGCCTGTGTATTTTATAAATATATATATTTTAATATCAATCAGACAATGGTTATTTTATTCACGTTATTTCGTTTCAGTATTTCTTAGAGTTGGACATATACTGACATTCAAAGATAATAAGTAAGTTAACCTTTTGAGCATGAACGGGATTTAAATTTAAATGAGCCACGCCATGACAAAACCATCATAGTATGTTTGCGACCAGCATGGATCCAGACCAGCCAGCGCATCCGTGCAGTCTGATCAGGATCCATGCTGTTCGCTTACAAACCCTATTACAAGTAGAGAAAGTGATAGCGAACAGCATGGATCCTGATCAGACTGCGCAGAGGCGCAGGCTGGTCTGGATCCATGCTGGTCGCAAACACACTATGTTGGTTTTGTCAGTCTTCTAACTATATTAGTAGTTATAGTTTATAAAGCAGAAGCAAAGTTGAGGAAGTTGGAGTTAGGTTATGGCACTAATGTATAGTGCAGATTGCAGAAGTTAAGTTTATGAAGCTAGGGTTAAGTAAAGAAAGCTATTGTTTAGTTTTTGAAGTTACGCTTAAAATTTGTTGACTTAAAACTTATGTAAGTAAGACTGACATCATTTATGAATAATGGCAGAGCAGGAAAGCGAAAATTTTAGAGACTGATGTGATTGGTAATATATTAAGATGGTGAAAGCGGCTCTAGAAAAGTAAAGTCTATGTAAGAAAAGGTTAATGTGGCTTAACATTTTTATTGAAGTTTTAAAAAAAACTTACAAACGTTTTGTGAAACACACTTACGATTTGCATAAGTTTAAACGCAAGGGTAAAGTTACGAAAATACTCACAAAAAACTTACGCAATGTTAGTAAAACGCTGCCCAGGCAAACAGTCATTACTTAATTATTTAAAGATCATGTATGTTTTAATTAAACTTATTACCACACTTAAGTGCAGTTTTATATAATTATGATTCTAAAACGATTTTCAAACACTTAAGAATATGTAAAATATGTACTGCAAATATTTGTCCACATTATATGTCACCATTGTCATCATTAAAATATATGCATTCATTTCTTATTGAAAAATTTGACTTAGACTTTATAGAAAATTTCTAATTACCTCCCTTTATTAACATGAAATGTAAATTTGGTAACATCTTTACAAATAATGCTTTTTGGAACTTACAATATTGATTAATCTTTATTTGAGCATTATATTTATGATAAAAAAACCATAGGACAATTAGTTACAGGATCTTTAATGGGACTGTTTTTGTCTCATATATACAGTTTCCACAAAACAAGGGTTCTTAGCTTCAATTGTTTACAGAATTGATGGGGTTTTTTTGGGGGGAATTTTTCAGCTGTTGCTTTTTGATACATACATCAAGACAAATATGTGCAGAAAGTTTATATACATTTGGGCAGTTTATGACATTAGGAACATTTTTTTCAGACTTTTAACTAACATGTTAACATGTGATGTATTTTATGACTTACAGATTTGCATTGCTAAGCATAACCCTATGTTGCCATAATGCATTATTGCAACAAGTATATTTTTTCTGTTGAATTATAAACATTATACATCTAGTATCAGTTTCAATTTTTGATTAAGATAAGCGTATATATCCTTTTCCAACACCCCTCATACAGTAGTTGAAGTTACTATTTATTTAGACTGTTGTCAAGATCTGCTTGGTAGTGTCAAATGTTCTCTTTATTTTGCTGTTGTACATTTTAAAATCTTGAATGTTAGATTTGGGTATGACATGGCTTTTGGGCGTTTGTCAAACTGTTGGTTCAGATTATATATTTGCAATCAAACTTGGTGTATAGCAAGCTTATGTGAAGACATTGCATGTGATTGCTTTTGGGCTTCCTAGGGCCATGGTGATTGTATCTAAAATTGAAAAACAGTTTCCTATCAATTACTTGAGTTTGGAATGAGATATTGTAATCAGACTTGGTGTAGCAAGTTTATGTTGAGACCTCACTTGGCATGCATCAGTGTGTCAATGTTTCTGTTTCTGGTAAAAGAAAAATGGCCATAACTGTTTCTGGAAATAGAAAAATGGTTTACAGTCAACCACTATCTAAAGAATGAGAAACTGTAATCAAACTTGGTGTATAGCAAGCTGATGTACATACTGATTTCACTTTGGATATATTGATAATTGATATGTTTAACTGTTCAAGTTTTGCCTTTGACCTTAAAAATATCTTGAGTGCCAAGGTCCAGATATTATCCTTGCCGGTGGGGATATGTTTTGGCTTTGGGCCGCCCTTCCCCCATCAGCCTTTTCTTTTGCAATTAAAGGGCTGAAATTCTTGCCAAAAACTTTTTTGGAACCTTTAATACAACAAAAGATACGATATTGTCGCCTTGATCTGGTGTGACCCCCAATTATGTCCTTTTAGTTATAGGGTGTTATAGAGAATAAATGTTTCGGGGGCTTTTTTCGCTGAAATTTCAATAAAACTTATGGGAAAATCAATACCAAAGAATGGGGCATATTGTACCTTGTTCTTGTCAGGCTACTAAAGAAAGTTAGGGGCCCCTTGATTAGTCTCATTTTCAGAAAAGGGCAATTTTTTTCTGCCAATTTCTCTGCAACTCTGGCTGGAACAATGAAAAAATTTTAAAAAACTACGGGGAGTGCGCAATTGTTCCCTTCTTTTGGGTTTAGAAATTTAAAAGACAGAGTTTGGCCCTTTTTAGTTGTGCAGTATCAAAAAGGCAATTTACATTTTCTTTGCAACTGCTAGAGATTTTCAACAAGATTTTTATGGAAAACCTCAATACCAAACGGTTTTTTTGCCATCCCCATGATAATATAAAAAAAACCCTTATGTCCCCAGTTTTTTGTGAAAGTAAAACCGTACTCGCGGGGGATAAAATTTCAACAAATTTCTTGTTTTATTTGGCCACAGCATAGCTCAATTTTTTAAGCGTAGATTTTAACAAAATATTGGGGTTTTCTTTCTGGGGCGGCCAACAAAAAAATTACTAATAGTCTTTCGGATGGGGTTTTTAAATCAAGGTCCCCTGTATGATTGCTTAAACACTTGGGCACACTAGCAACCGGAGAAACTTCTGCGAATTGGGGGCATCTCTCATGTATCCTGTATCTTGCACTATCCTCAAAAATATAAAATGACTAATACTCTTCTGGAGGACTCACCAATATAGGCAACCGGTGGTGAGTATAAATAAACTCAAATACACACACCATTTTACTTTGCTTTTATTTGCAGTTTGATTTAATTCATACATAGACAAAACAACATTTATTACCAAACCTTTATATAAATTAATTACAGTGAGAAAACTTGAAAAAAATATCATTTAATGGCATGGTCAAACATGAAAATTTTTTTCATGTTGTAGAACTTGGACCCTGCTTTTTTGAAAACCTGGTTTTGCCATTACTCTTTCTTTATATATTTTTCAGTCATTCTCAGTAACTAAAAAAAATGAATTTCTTAGTGAGAGTAAGTGCATATTCAACATAAACAAATATCCCCCATATCTCATATTTGCATTATATCCAACAAAAGTTAAAAACAATTTTACACCTATAGTATCTCATTTTGAAACTACTTTCCTTTTCAGGTCCTCAGAAGTTATACCATGTATGTTCCGAAGATATTTACAAACATTAGAAAAGAAAAGAAACAAAATCAACGTAATTAGAGCTACTATAAATCATATTGTAAGTTTCATACCATTTGTTTATTGTTCTGACTTTGAATATCATAGAATTATTTTTCATTTTTGTGCCCCCACTATGGGGGGGGGGGGCATTTAGATTTACCCTTGTCCGTTCATCCATCCGTCTGTCCATCCGTCCGTTCTCTTTTTGTGTCGCATGTAGCTTAAAAAGTAATTGACCTAGAGTCATGAAACCGTACAGGAATGTTGATCAGCATGTGAAGTTGTGCACCTGGGTATTTTATGTGGATATATCTAGTATTTTTAGAGTTATTGCCCTTGACTTAGTAAAAATTTGCAATTTTCAACTTGTGTCGAATGTTACTCAAAAAATATTACGCGTATATGTCATGAAACCCTTACAGAATGTTGATTCATTATGTGTAGTGTCAATCTGAGTGGTAATTTATCTTGCGGGTGATAATTTTACGAGTTTTAACCCTCTTGAATTAAAAAAAATTTTTACCATTTTCAAACTTGTGTCGCACGTTTCTAAATAGAGTATAAGGACCTAGAGTCATGAAACCTTCACAGGAATGTTTGCTCAGCATGTTGTAGTTTTGCACCTGGGTATTTTTAAGTTGATATTATTAGTATTTTTAAGAGTTACTGCCTTTGACTTAGTTAAAATTTACAATATTCAACTTTGGTGTGCACGTAATCAAAAAAATATTTGACCTGTAGGCTTGAAAGTTTACAAGAATGTTGGTCAGCATGTGTACGTATTGCACCGTGGGTTTTTTCTTGTGGATTTTTTCAGTGTTTGTAGTATTTGCCCTTACTTTATAAAAGACTTTTTAGTTTTTAACTTCAGGGCACATGTAGCCAAAAAAAAATTTGACCTAAGATTGACAAATGGTGGAGTGTGGGGGCAATCGTGTTTATGGAACACATTTCTAGTTAATTATTTTTCTCCATGGGAATTTGTCAAATTTGGTTAGTAGTGGCATGCTTTCTCTCATCTTTCTTGGTTGTTCGTCCCAGCTTGGTGTACAAGATTAGTTTTAAATATTGTGACTGAGTATATGACCTAGTGAAATTCAAATGCTTATATAACCCAATCTATTAGACAATGTTTATATGGCAAACAAACATTGATATAAGCTCACACTATATATTGACATCGTTTCCATATTAATATTTTATTATCATTATGATTTTGTGAAACCGGAGAGGTATAATTAAACAAATGCTTATTATAATTTTTACTGATTTATATTGTATTATATACATGTATAGATGAATTTAAAGTCTTTAGTAATGTTTAGTATAAAATTTAATTATGATATTGCAAGATGGCATGTGTATTGAGAAATATTTGAGGTAAATTTAAATTTTTATTTGGAAACTTTTAAGTTAAAAATTAATGAATTTTTGAATAAAAATTTTTTATTATACGACCCTTTTGAAAAGGGCATAATATTTTTATCTTTTGAAGGATTTTGAAAAATTAAAATTTGAAAAACTACAAATAAAATTTTATTTGGCAAATTAAAAAACAAAAGGGGAACTGGTTTCTACACAAATATAAATTTTCCCTATTTAGCAAAAATATTTTTTAAAAAAATAAGAATTCGCTTCTGGGTTTTGTATTATCAAAACTTTAAAGGTAAGATAAAAAAAATTTTTTGTTATTTTTCCCAAGGGGGATTAACCATTTGTTTGGGTTTTCACATGGGGTTTTTTTAATATTTTGATAATACTTTTAATTTCCAAAGTTTTTCTTTTTTGTATTTTAATGTAAATAAAAATTTGTATTTGGTCTCAGGGGCTAAAAACCCATTAAGCTTGAGGAAACCCTTTAACTTTAAATCCAGTTTTTAGTTTTTCCTGTTTTCCTCAATCACATATTTAAACCAATAATTTAATACTTTTTGAGCCCAAAGAAATAACCCTTTCAAAAAAGGACCCGAAACAAACATTGAAAAAAATCTTTTGGATTTCCCAAAATGTTACTTTTTTCCAAATTTTCTCCCCCGGGCCCAAAAAACCCATTTAATTTTTCTGTTTTGTCGATATTAGGAACATAATTAAAAGGGTTTGTTAGTTTTCGAAATATCCAAGGGCAACTAAAAAATAATTTTCCCCCATTAAAATTCTTTTTCAACAGAAAATTTTCCCAATATTCCCTTTCAAGTCCATTGATTTGTGGGGTTTAAAAGCAGAAAAATGTTTTAAATGAAAATGCAAGTTTCCCCTGATAGGGTTTAAAATTCCATGGACTTTTCATCTATTTTCATTTTTGGTTTTTAAATAGAGAGGAAGTTTTGAGGAGAAGGGCAAATGAACTGTATTGTGCGTAATTTTAAACGGTAAAAGTGTAAACTCAGGCAGGTGGTATCTCTGGTCACTATGGTGAATCCCACGGGGTTCGATTTTAAGCTGTAGTTGTTTGAATTGCTCCACTTTTTATGTCTATCATTTTAATTTGAGTTATTATTGTAATCTGCTACAAAATAATTTGGTTCTGAGGAGAGACAGAAATACTTCAGTAATCCAGCAATCATCTTCATCTGAGGATATTTTTAACATTGATGTTTCTAGGGGTAGATATTTTCATTGTGTACTGGAGCCTTATTTATTGGTTCAGCCTGGTTGGCCTCAGCTCCTTTTTTCTCAATGTCCCCAAATGATTTCTCATTCTGAAGGAGTTTTTTTGATTGCATGATTTGATTCAAAATTGTATTCATCAACATCATTAGTTGTTGTTAGTTGTTTTGTTATATTTTCATTGTGTAATATCAGTTGCTGAGCTATTTTCATTTCAGTAAATAATTGGTCAGTTTTCTTTGTTGGTGTTGAGGTGTTTTAGAGTATCAGCTGATGCTTGGAGTGATTTGTTGATGTCATCACACAATTGTTTCTGTTGTTTTCAACTTTCTTTGATTTTTGTGTTCGATTTTTGTTGCAGTCTCTTTAACTTTCTTTTCTAGTTCATCTAATCTTTTGTTCATCTCTTTTCTAAAGTTTTCTATTTCTACTATAGCATCTTTCAGAGAAGTTGTTGATTTAGCAACTCTATGTTTCAGATCTTTTGTAATCTGGCAGCATTTGTCTTTTAATTTGTCAATATCTTTTAGAGTTTGTTTGAAGTCGGTGCTGTCTAAAGTCTGTCCTGATAAATCAGGTATGTAGTCACACGTGGAAAGGATTTTGGGTTTTGGGGTTGAAGGGTTAAAACAAAGGGCACATATAAGTTCTTAGGGGTCAGAACAAAAACTTGAAAATTTCTTTTGTAGGTTTAGGACAAAACTTTGTCAAATCGGGCTGTTTTTTTCCCCCCCCAAAGGTAGATTTTTAATGACTTCCGGGAAGGTTTTTTTGTTTTTTGGTTGGCTTTGTGTTTCTTTGTCAAAAGGTTTGGGGGTTGTTTGGCGTAGTGGGAAATTTTTTTTCTTTCTGTGTGTTTAAAAGCAAGTTTTACATAAATTTTCCTCACAATTGACACAGTAACCAAAGGCAGGTAGTCTGATGTCCTCTCTGTCACTTTGGGTTCAAAAAAAAATAAAATTGTAAAATTTTTCCACCTCCCGCGGGGGGATATGAAAGGAACAGTTTTGAGAGGGCCTTTTTACGGGCCCACACCCCCATAATGTTACCCAGAATAGAAAGTTATTAATCAAGTCAAGTCAAAATTTTATTTGCAATTCGGCAGATATCTGCCTTTGACAATACAAACATAAATATACATATGGCCAACACATTAATAAATGTTCAATACTGGATATTATAAAATTTACTCATTAAGAAAATAAAAAACAAAGATTTTAATTGTTATACTTAAGTACCATTAGTGCCTCTTTCCTATATCTTGTGACAATTCAAAAACGTTGATTTTAATTCTAATACTTAACTTTACCACCACAAACGAAGTATAGTTGTTTGTTGGTGGGTCTCTTTCATGATTTTCTGACAATAACTAGAGTTTGGAAGGAGATGTTGTAATCAAACATGGCATAATAGCAACTTTAAGTGGGAACCCCGGTCAATGAAATTGCTTATGATCAAGGTCACTGTTACTAAAAATTGAAAAATGGTTTCCAGACAATACCTTAAGTTAGGAATGAGATATTGTGATCAAACTGGCTGTATATAGGAAACTTATATGAAGACCCTTGTCTCGGTATTGCATTAAGATCCCTGAGATCAAGGTCATCACTACTTAAAATAGAAAAATGGTTTCCGGACAATACCTAGAGTTAGGAATGAGATATTTTGATCAAACTTGGTACCCCCATGGGTTCAAGGTCACTGTTACTAAAAAGAGAAAATGTTTCAGACAATTACTAGTTTAGAATGAGAAACTGTGATGTGATTAAACTTGGTATATAGTTAGCTTACATGAAGAACCAGGTCAATTTTATAGCTCTTGGACCTCCTGTGGTCAAGGTCAATATCACCATTACTAAAAAATAGAAAAAATCGTTTTCGGACAATAACTAGAGTTAGGAATCAAACTACCTATTTAGAGAGCTCATATGAAGACCTGGGTTGGTATTTCATTTTGATACTCTTAGGTTAAGAACGCCATTACTAAAAGTAGAAAATGGTTTCCTGACCATTACTAGAGTTAGGAAAGAGCCTTGGTTTATAGCATGCTAATATGAAGACCTAGGTTGGTACTGCAATTGAACCCCTGAGGTCAAGGTTAAGGTCACCATTATAAAAGACCTAGACTGGCTTTGCTTTTGAACCCTTAGTATCACGGGTAACTGATACTTTACATAGAAAAATGGTTTCGGGAGGATAACATTTGTTAAGAATTACAAAGTTGATACTTAGTGAATTATAGGTCGAGTTCAAATTTGTCTTCAGGCCTCTTATTTTTCAAAAAGTCAAGGTTGTTGATTGTGGTATTAATCACCTTTAGTGATAGCTCTAGTTTCCATTAGTGTTTCTTTATACTGAGCATAGATATTTGGCATGTAACATGGCTCACTATCAATGGGGTCAAAATTAGCACTAAATCAGCCTGGGGGTCTTTAATTTATAAATTTATATAGACATATATAGGAAAATACTTTTTTGTGTGAATCATCAAGACCAAAAGCTGAGATATTTGTCATTAAGCATTTCATAGCAGAAATATATCTGAAGAATTATGCTGCTTTAGTAAAAAAAAGAGAGGAAAAAAAAAAAATCAAAAAACAAACAAACAAAAAACAGATGAAATATGAAGTCATTCCTGACTTTGACATTGAAAATAATAATTGTGACATTTCCTCGCAATATATCTTAGGTGAGCAATCTAGGTACAAAATGACCTTTTTGTGTCGATTGTAAATCGACACAAAGGTATAACCACCCATCTACCGGACTATTTCTTATTGCAAACCGAATTTCGTTGACAAAAAAAATAGTTCCGTATGTTCGGTTACAAGTTAGAAAATCCATTCATGCATTGAATATAGAAGGGGTTGTCATATATTTATAATTGTATTAAATTATTGAAAATTAAAATTACAATTTAGTTTAAATTTGTATTGTACGCAGAAATTATATAAATGCGCGAGTGAATCACGTGATTGGCTCTTCAACGACGCCATTTTTATTTAAGCAGATTGAAATGCAGTTTCGACTTCGTTATTTGACACAAATATCAGACTGTTTTGAAGAAATTGTAAGTATCGGATACTCATGCAGCGATTTTGACTAATAAACAAAATAAATTGTCCCAGAATGAGCAAAGCGTGCGAAGCCGTCGTTAATAATTATAAACCAGTCCATGAGCTAAAAATAGCACAGCTGGGAAACCCAAGTTATGACCTCGGATTAAATTACGGTCTTGTAAACAATTTCAGAGATTTGTGAGTAGATTATTGATTTGTGCTTCGAATTTGCGGATAATTTTTTGGCAGTTTTACTTCAATTTTCATACGTGCATGCACGCACCTAGTTGTAATTTCATGCGTGATTTTTGTAAATTACAGAATACAGTATACGGAATTCACATTTGTGCGTGAATGGGAACACTGACTATCATTTAGTTTTTTACCATCTGATTCATTTTTATAAAAATATCTAAAAAGGTCTATTTTATGTATGTGATGTATATATATCATGTGTAATCATTTTTTTATTGTAGCTGTTTTATCTTTGTTGATCTTATACTTTATGTTTTATACAGTCGGTTATAAAAGCTCCTAGAGCTAATGTTGTAGGCCCTACTGTTGAAAACTTGCCGACTTGAAACAAAACTTATCTTATCAATGTGTACGAAGAGGTATAAGATAAGTGTCCACTCGGCCCTAAACCAACTCTGTCCGCAACAAAAAAGAAATCACTTTAGATTGTTTAGTTGATGAACATCCAGCGGTAGATCACATATACTAAAAATAATTGAAAAGATCTGTATGTTTTATTATCTTTGTTAAGATGAGATGTTGTGATTAATACAACAGGGTCAGGGACCATCAACCGCGGACACTTTTTGAACATTTTTCTGTACAGGTTTCATAAGTTTTAACCTAGAGACCAAAAAAATTGACAAGGTTCAGCTAGGTTCTTGAACTTCTTCCCCTAACTAACAAACTTGTTTGTCTGATTGTATTGACACTTATATCTGAGGCTCGACAAGGAGGTATCAAAATTACCTCAATTGTCTACACTACAGCACCATGTGTCCGGACTTTTATGTACATGACGTTATTTAATTCAGATAGCTTGGGTGTTTTAATTTTTAACATGATAGACAATGATTCAGACAATGATTCAGAAACAAATGCTGAAGTTTTGGAAATTCTATTGTTTACTCTGCAAATGATTATAGATGGTATATGAGGTCAGGCATTGTTTTCTTGACCCCCCAAATTTCAACGTCAACATTCTTGAAATAGCCATCAAATTATATTACCATTTACGGTGGTTGAAATAAATTTATTTATTTATTTTTAGAAGAAACATGCATTTATTGTTGATAAAAAAAGTGACAACCACTGAACAAAGAAAATACTAAATTAAGCATTTTCAGGGCCGTCCGGGTTTGGTGGTTGTCCGGTTTTGGTGGTCCCCAACCAGTAGCTTAAACATTTATGAACTGTAAATTCTTCCCTCACACACTTTCATCAATAACAATTTCAATTAGAAAAGGTATATAAATTATGACATGAAAACATAAAACAATTGAAAGGTATGAACACATGAAACAAAGATAATTCAACATAGAGCAACAAAACTAGTTTCCACTGAGGAATACCGTACCGCAGGTAAGGCCCCCACGGTTACACTTTTAAACGGATTCGTTTCGATTTTCATTCATAAACGGTTATGATATTTTTTACCGTTTATTCGAGATGACCATATTGTCTTACAAATTATCTTAATAATTTCCTGTAATAATGGATTTTATCTATACTTATTGGTTTATCAAAGTAAAAAATGGAAAATGGGTGTTTACAACCCGGACCACACACCATCACCGTGCAATAATCGCTTGTGACATAATTCATTTTTGTTAAAGTTGATTTTTCTTTGATCTTTTAAATAACGAAATGCGGATACAATGCAGAAAATGTGTGCCGCCTAAATCGTGATGAGCACTGAACATTATTTACTTGTATAGAAAGTAAGTCATCATTTGGCGACTTGAATACATGGTATAGTATAGTGCATAGAAGTACCACCGTTTAAACAGTATCGATTCGGTTCTTAGCAATCGTGTAAAAAATTGTAAACGTGGGAGCCTTTACCGCCGGATATTGCTCGATATTACGAGGACTTTTATCCCATTTCAAGACTATGAACAAAGGTAAATTCAAGGTAAACGTTCAATCTGACAACAATAAAATTTCAGATGACAGTGCATTTTGAGAATAAATAAACATGTCAGTTTACCGAGTATTGCTTTGGAGTTGCTAGCCGGTGTCACGAGTATGCTTTTTAATGTAACGAGTATTGGTTATTAATATCAAGTAAATGTGAGAAGTAATCACAGAGTATTTACCACATTTAACCTTAAATATTTCTTATTGTCACAATGTGTATACTTATTGACATATGTGCAGAATATGCAGATTTTGGAGGTACTGTACTGAATAATACATACCCAGCAAACATGCATATATGGGACCCATATGGGCTACATCTAGGCAAGCTAATGGGTATGCCCATATTGGACCTATATGGATCCAATATTGGCAAGTCCATTTGGGTACGCCTATATATTAGACCCATATGGGTACTATATTCCAGCACTTTAAGGAAAAACAATTTTTCTTTTATTTATTTCTTTAGAACTCGTTTACTTTGAGCTATAGTGTGACCACCTTGGCATAAATTGCTATTATCCTATATAAAATCGTAGCATTATTTTAAACATTTATACAAGCCATGAGGGACCCATATGGGTCCCATTTGGGCAACCCGATAAATATTAGCATGCCTGAGCAGGTGCGAGAAATTAATTTGTTAAGTTTTTATATTGGTTTTAATTTTTATTATTTAAATATAATATGTGCTTTTAGACTATAAATTCAGAAATAATTTATAAAAATCAGTTTTTGATGAAAAAATTTATTTCGAGCATGTGCAGACGTGATTTCCGCTGCCGCTTAAAATCAAATTGTGTATTGAAATGTTAAATTGTACACGAAAAAAATATTTCTTTTCGATTCCGAGCATTTAACCACGATTCCGTATAACGACTTTTCATATTATATCCTTACATGTTTATTGTGTGTGTAGGTAAGCTGTAAACGCTGTTTAGTTTTTGGTTTTGCCTTTGTCATGTAATTTCCCAACAGTCGTTTAATTTGCGACATTTTCTAGAATTTACGCCCTGACTCTTAGGCACTTTAGGTGACCTATGCATGTGTATAGTTGTTATTGTTGAATTACTTAACTGTGACGGAGTCGACACTAACATTTTAAAAATATTGTTTCTATCTAGACTAAATTTTAAGAGATCTCTTTTTAAAGGGACACCATCATTTGAAATCCAGTGTCCCCCCCTAGCCTTAGAAGTCCCTTCCATTTTGTACCAACATTTCATTCATAAGCATTTTAAAATATTAAATACAAATACTTATTTTTACAAATTCAAGTATTTTTTCCAAGTACCAACCAAGCCCTCTAGCTGTTGCACAGGCATGAGTATCAGACCTGAGAAGAAAAAATATGACCTGATAGATGATTAAACCTGTGTTCATCTTAAAAAATTCGAAAACCAAAAAAATGTAAATTATGACCCCCTTTAAAAACATACTATAACTTAAGAGAAGGCTGGAAACTCTAGATTCGAGCCTACGAGCCTACGAGCAAGGGATTCACTACCCAGGCCGTTGTGAAAACAATTGTCAAGACAATTAAAAAATCTTTTATCATTATTTCACATTTGTATTAAGCTTCCAAATGAGACCAACTGCAAGTCTCTAGCCCTTCCTGTTCATGAAATAATCCCATCAGGAAACGAGCGCATTCGTGCTAAAAATCCTTGGTAGAAAAAATTGCGGCACAACAATTCGGTACATAAACATAGACTAATACATGTTTGTCAGCCGTGTACAGGTCATAATCATATTGTCACTTGGTGCAATAACTCACTTAATGTATATGTATTTTTTAACTACTTATTAATGTATATTCATTTTATTGTCAATAGGCCATCAAAAAGGCTGTATGAATCGGATAGTGACACTGATGAGAATGAGACAGACACCGAGAGTAGGCCATCACAAGTTATTGACAAAGCAACAACGCCAAACAGGCACGAAGCCTGCTTTCACCTCCACCTTGCTTATCTGCACAGGCATTGCGAGAGGCCAGCAGTGATGTGCAAAGTGCTTCTCTAATACAAGGTGCTTCTGATACACCCTCCCGTGGGCAGATTATTGGGCCCAGTAAGTATAAACTTCGGAGCTGTAAATATATTCATTACAGTACATACTTATTAAATGTTCTATCCTCAAAACAAGCCAATAAATGTTGTAACAAGCTGGATTGAGTGACACAGCCAAAAATGGAAAGTTTCACCTTATGACGCGCCTAGTTAAAAAAAATTCAAAAGAAATTGATGATTACTTGTGTAAGTCTTTATCATGATGTGAATTAATGTTCGCCTATTCTTGTCTGACCCCACAACTGTTATCCAAAGTTACTGTCCTTGGAATAGTCAAAAATGTTTATATTCACCCCATGACATGCCTAGCTCAAAAATATTTTAAGTTTAATTCATGTTTTCTTATCATTTTCACATTTTGTGACCTTGCACACTCAACAATCCTTTTGAGATTTTAGCGTTAATTACTGTTAAAGCCAAGGAAAAATTTAAAATACTGGATTTTTTTCATTTGTAATTCACATAGCTCTAAAAGTATAAAGCCTAGAATTATGAATCCTTTTTTGAAGCTGCTGTTACACAGATTCTCTGAGTCTTGGAGACAATGCGGGAGGAGAATCGTGAAATTAAGAGGATGATGTAGCAATTGTTGTCAAGGTCAGCAGCAGATGACCAACCGCTGCAGCTTCCTGAAGATATCTCATTCCCTATTCGTTCTCCTTAGCAGATGGAAACATTCGATGAGCTTCTGGGAGATCAGACAAAGCTGTCATCTGTGGTAAGCATAGTGTTAGTCATGTAATTTTTGCACCATTAGTAACTGAAAAAAGTATACCACATATCCACTGGCTTAAATGCAAAATAACATAATGGTCTGTGGTTAGCACTTGATGATAATGTATTATCATTCTGCTATACTTATGTAGGAAAATATTGCACAGTGGACAAACACTTTACTGCATTACTTTCGGAATTAAAAACTGGCTTGTTTTAATTTTTTGATTCATATTGAAACAGTTATCTTATTATTTAGATATGCTATAAAAGCCATGAGCACAAGACATGGGCAGTTGGCCTCGTTTTCAACATTGATTATTAAGACAAGACAGTCGATTCATTAATCAAAATGCTGGCAGCTTTCAAAATACCAGGAATATGACTTGTACCCACAAAATCCAGGAATTGCGCTGTTATTATAATATCAAAAATTATTCTGTTCATACTGTATAAACTTGTGTTTAAAAAACAACAATGATAATGTGCCCCATTACACTCGGTGGAGGGGACAAACAAAAAGGCACAAGTCACTTGGGCTGTAAATATATGAGGAAAGGTCTTTTAATTTGTCAATTCAAACAGTTTTCTTGGCAGATCATGTATTTGAGGTCCAGTTGACAATTATTTGTCATTTGGTGACTTGCAGCGCATCACAAATTTTGAAAATTAGTAGTGTTAAAATTAACATTAAAAAAAGTTTATGTTCTGCTTTATTTAAGGTGCGGTTCCTCTCAATGTTTGGTGGGGCAGTTGTGCGGGAAACTGTTGACCGCTAGATGATAGAAACCATGTCAAATGAACTGGCAAGAATGTTCAATATGAAGGGGGCTGAAAGGGAAGAAAACATTTGGGGGCCTCTAGATACTGAATGTATTGTATAGTAAGTGATATATTACGAATTTGCAAAGTGGTGTCTTTAAGTAAGGCTTCAAAATAGATATATTATCCAAGATCTTGTTATTGTGTCTTCAGGTATTGCTTTAATGAAAGAAAATGCTTGATTAGCTTTTATAGAAATTAATAAGAGAGAATATTTTACATGCTGTGTGGTTTTGATCCCATGCATTGTGTTGTGATGCATAATATAAGCAGAAATCACCTTCCTGTAAAGCAAGTTATTTGCTTACCTTAACATTCTTTACTGATACACCGATAAGATGATCTCAGCTTACAACTGACTGCAGCGATATCACAGAAATATTGTTAAAAGCTATGTAAAACCGGGACACAAACATCTATATTTGTTAAAACATACTAGAATTAGTTTATATTCCAATTTTATGCTCAAAATGCTACAAGGTGACTTATGACCTTTGAATGGTTTCAATACCTACATTTCACTGCATTTCATTTCATTCATTAAGGATAAGGATGCTTGTTTTATAGAATGTGTCCAAAGGAACTTGCCGGCAAAGACTGCGACGAGGAAGGATATTGAAATAAAGGTTTCAAAGTGGCTGGCTGGGGCGTGGGACCGCGATGGGGGAAGGAAAGCAAGAAACAAATTGTCGGAGACCTTACCTGAAGCAAATGAAGGAAGTGACTAGACATGTTTTTATTTTTAAAAAATGCAAATCTATAGAGGATATTTGTTTGTTAGTGTGTAAGATGAAATTTTATATCATCAAGTGAGCTGTAAAAACATTATTCTCACGAGTGAGAACACTGTTATTTAAAAGTTTTCAATGATATAAAATTACATCTTACACAACAAACAATAAAGTGTCATTTTATTTTATGCTAATGAAATTTCCTCAATATTAACTTTAATAATTATTAAATCTGTTTTCCCCACTGTTAACATCAATTTTAGTTGAATTTAAGTCCAATTATTCATAAATACAGGAGTCTTGGGCTTAACAAAAAGTTTGACAATCAACGTCGAATAGCAATGATTTTATTTATTTTATTAAAAAAATATGAATAATCGCTTGTTTTAATAATAAAAACAACCAATTCTAGAAGAAAAAGTCACACCATCCCACCTTATTTCTGTTACTCAGGCAATTTATGTATGACCTGGCTTTGTGAAATGTAAGTGGCGGCCATTTTTAAAAGTTTTGTATTTTAAGGAAAATTAATTTTGTTTTATTCAGAGGAATATTATTTGGATAGGTTAGTCTTGAAACAGTCCTGAGAATGTCAGAATTGTAAGCAAAAATGATATTAAGGTACCACATGGGGAAAATCTTTAAAAAGTAGTCTCGTCATTGAAAAGTTTGAAATTTGGATCATTTTCACTGTGAAATTATCAAATATAATTTTCACGGAAACATCAGTAATACACACAAAAGCATAAAATGAATGACTTTTATTTTACATTTTCGAACCTTTTCTTCATCGGCATATAAGTTATTCCAATGATTGAAAGTCAATAGATATCAAAGTATTTTAAAATGTGATAAGGGTCAGAACTACAGTAAGACTAAAGTGGCTCATTTGTGTATCTTGTTATACTTTTTGTTGCTAATTTTAATGTTTGAGGTCATCAGCATAGCATGTCTTTTTTGTAAATGCAAAATTATTTGCCTTCTAGTCAGTTTATTTTCCTGCTATGTTATGTTTGTTGTTGACATTATATGCTGTTTTTCTGTTGTCTTTATGCTGTTGTTATTTTTTTTTCATTAAACATTGTTGCTATTTAAATCAAGACATTAAATGCTTGGGGAATGTTTTTGATACTGATCAATACAATTTTAACATCTTGTCCAAACTTAACACTAACAGGGAACACATATATAGGTATGGTATTAACCTTTTAAATCAAGTTGAAATACTGTACAATGATGCTTCTTGTAATCTTTATTTTTGTTATTGTTGAAACTTTGATAATATCGGATAAATTACTGAAACAACTATTTTTACTGACAATTTTTTAAATGAACTTTTTAACAACAAATTTGATCTTCTTAAATCAGTATTATTTCACATTTTTTAAAGGAATATATCCATAATTAATTACAGTTCTGTGATATATAGGATAATTGTTAATTCCGGTGTAATATCACATTTTATTAGCTTGACTATTCGAAGAATATGAGAGCTATTGTAGTCGCCCCGGCGTCGGCGTCAGCGTCCGCGTCGGCGTCTGCGTTGGTTAAAGTTTTTTGTGAAGTCAAATATCTCAATTATTACTTGAGATATTCAATTGAAACTTACAATACTTATTTATAGTAACAAGGTACATCAGATTGACAAGTTGGATAACTCTGCCTACAATATTGACAGAATTATGCCCCTTTTCAACTTAGAAATTTTGGTTAAAGTTTTTTGTAAAGTCAAATATCTCAATTATTGCTTGAGATATTAAATTGAAACTTACAATACTTATTTATAGTAACAAGGTACATCAGATTGACAAGTTGGATAACTCTGCCTACAATATTGACAGAATAATGCCCCTTTTTAACTTAGAAATTTTGGTTAAAGTTTTTTGTAAAGTCAAATATCTCAATTATTGCTTGAGATATTCAATTGAAACTTACAATACTTATTTATAGTAACAATGTACATCAGATTGACAATTTGGATAACTCTGCCTACCATATTGACAGAATTATGCCCCTTTGGAACTTAGAAATTTTGGTTAAAGTTTTTTGTAAAGTCAAATATCTCAATTATTGCTTGAGATAATCAATTGAAATTTAAAATACTTATTTATAGTAACAATGTACATCAGTTTGCAAAATTGCATAACTTTGTCTGCAATATTTTCAGAATTATTTGCCCCTTTGAAACTTAGAAATTTTGGTTAAAGGTTAACGGTCTTCAAAGATATTTCCTTGAAACTTTACACATGCACTTAGGGTCATAATTGGAGGGTCATAATTGTATGTCACTGACCAAGTTCTATAACTCTATCTTGCATTAAGGCTGATTCATATCCCCTTTTCTACTTAGTTTCTTGGTTAATGTTTACATGCAAGTTTTACATATCTCAATAACTATTAAAGATATTTATTTAAAACTTCACATATGCATTTAGGGTCATAATTGTAGGTCACTGACAAAGATCCATAATTCTATCTTGCATTTAGGCTGACTTTTCTCCCCTTTTTCAACTTAAAAATTCATGGTAAAGTTTTGTTTGTAAGCTGTTATCTCAATACTACTGAAGGGTTTGTGCCTTTTTTGGGACAATTTTATGCATTCATAATAATAAAGTAGTGATTTACTTGATAAAACATCTTAATAACAAGCCTTTGTACCTTTTCTGTCAAATTTATGTATTCATAGGTAATTAGTATTATTATACTCAATAAAAAACCCTTGTGACATTACCTTCCTAATAGTCAAGCCAATTCTGTATAATTAGACTCTCTCTAAGGCCTATTACATGAATTTATAAAAAAAAATTAGCCCTTTTGTGAACTTAAAAAATTTAACAATATCAAGGCTCTTTTACTATCAAGCACTTAGAATAGTCGAGCGTGCTGTCCTACAGACAGCTCTTGTTTATAATTAATTTCACAGAGTGGATACCTAAAGTGTTGTTCACAAAGTGGCGCAGCCATGTTGTTCACAAAGTGGCGCAGCCATGAGTGAAAATAACAACTTTTGGTATTCAGAAGTGAACTTATCATGATATTTACATTGATACAGTATACATGTATGTGTTTACTTTATGTCTAAAACTCCACTAATGTTTGGTTCCTTTCAATAAAAGGTTGAAATATGCGAGAAACTTTTTATCAGGAAGCATCGCAAAGATGAAGTCATTTTATTGACGTTGTTGTCATATTTTTTTCCGAATTTCAGTATACTTGGTTAACTTTTTTGATATTTATATAGTTATCAAATTCGATAATTTTTTTCACAAAGTGGCTAGTGAGTCAGGATATAATTCAACGTTAACTTCCATAAACCATTGAAAATTGATAAAAGATTAATGAAATTCTTATTGAGAATGATATTAGCACATAGAAAACTGATCCAAACAGTAAAGTTTCACAAAAGGTTACTATAACTATTGATATTAACAATTGAAATGCATTAAATTGTAAATACTATTGTTATTTCTTGCCTTTATTGTGGTTTTTGTTGATAAAGATATGAGAAATGAAGCTGCTTATTTTTACAAACTGGTACAAACTATTTGTTACTTTTCATCAGCTGCATATTTTTTTTACACGTCTATAAACAGTATTTCTATGTGCCAAGGTTTTGTTATTATATTTGTTACTTTTCATCAGCTGTATATTTTGTTTACACATCTATGAACAGTATTACTGTGCCAAGGTTTTGTTTTATTATATTTGTTACATTTCACAAGCTGTATAATATTCTTTTCTTCAGCACTATCATACCAAAGTGTAATATATGGTTGTAATGAACAACTTTTTATATTTATTCATGTAGATCTATTTCATTTGTCCAATACAAAGATATCTGAAAATTTAAATATCATATAAAACATAGATACTATTTCATTTGAAAATGAAAGAAATTGGTAGATAGAAATTTGTAATGAATTACAATAAATGTATAATACTTTCCTATGAATTATGTAGAAATTTAAAAAGACATGGGAGTAGGTTTGCAGTTGTGTCTTTGAGAATCTGTATATATATGATACACTCTTACCATAATTGAGATTACTAAATAAAGTTAACATTGTTAAAGCATATACATTGTGTGTTGTTTTCTTGCAGGATAATAAAGGCTTTGTGTCATAATCTGTCTGTTCCAGTTAAAACATCACTTGAATATTTAATGCAAGTACAATAATTATGCCAGTTGCAACTTAACGTCCAGCAAACTTATAATTGAAGTACTTGAAAATAGATCTATCCCGGAATTCAAAATCTACCCATAATGGAAGTATCTGGGCTGCCCATTTGAAACCCATATTTAGTACAAGGGCTGCCCATATGGGGCCCATATTGAGTACATGGGCCGCCCAGGTGGGGCCATGTGATCTCATATGGAGTATAAGGGCTGCCCAAGTCTCAGATTTTGATAAGATTAAAATACAGGGCAGCATTGCTGCAAATGCAATAAAAAGGTTATGATACAGGGCAAGTGTTCATTAAGACAATACCGGTATACTTGAACGGCATTAACTTTGGGCCAATATTTTAATAAGTGTGCCAATATCTTTCTTAAGGCACACTTTTGCTGTAAAAACCTATAATTTATGTCATCTAGATCTGTTTTTCTTCTTTTTAGAGATAGGTCTAATAGAACTAAAATATTTGAATAAATATCAAACTGTACATTATCTGCAACGAAAATAAATGGCGTAATCAATAAACAGACTCAGGCTGTGAAAGGTTATATATTTCACAACACAATCGACACTCCAGTACTTTCAGTGCTTTGATTGTTATAGTTTAGTGACTGAGGTGTTTCAGGTCATTCCATTTGAAAGTATAGGTAACCTAATATTGTCATTCCCTTTTAAAAAAATTTAGGCAGATCATATTGTCACATTAAACCCATCAAAATAAAATTGAAACCATTGTATTTTAGTTAGTAAGAGTTGTGGGTGGGGTACAGAAAATTTCTCTCAAGGTTATTTAAAATGTAGGGCAAATTTAAATCAATTTAAAGTAATGTAAATACTTGATAAATTTCATTTAATTTTTAAACATAGATATTAAGTAAATTGACTCACCGGTAATTTATGCTGCTGGCTAGGTTATTAAAAATATTGCCGTCTTTAGTTTCTTATCTGACAAGTCACTTCCCGTCTATCCACTGCTATGTATTTAACCTGTATAAACTTGTAGAGATTGGTTTAATAAAAATTTAAACCAGATAGTATTATATTACAAAAGAATGATGATATTACTCTAAACAGAAAACCAATATACAGTACACTTAATGCCTTAGTTTCAGGTTTAACTAGAGATGACTTTAGGTTTACCTTCAATACAATTACCAACAAATACACATGTTTAAGATATGGCAAATATAACAATATTTGTGTACTGAAAATATTTTTATGAAACTTGAAATATGGTAGATGGCAGTATTTTTAACTTTCTTATTTCTTTGTTGATTTACTTTAACTTTAAAAGTTACATTCATTATCAACACCTACATTCCCTACAAATGATGTAATTGAAAAAGTGTTATATTTTCACTTTTCTTATTTGTGACAATAGTTGTTATCCACTTTAAACTGAAGATAATCGTTTTGGGGCATTTGTCTGTTTCCATTGATAGTTCTTCTTTTTAGCTCACCTGTCACAAAGTGACAGGGTGAGCTTTTGTGATCGCTTTTCGTCCGTCGTCCGTCCGTCCGTAAACTTTTACTTTAAATGACATCTCCTCATAAACCACTAAGCCAATTTCATCCAAACTTCACAGGAATGTTCCTTTGGTGGTCACCTTTAAAAATTGTTCAAAGAATTGAATTCCATGCAGAACTCTGGTTGCCATGGCAACCAAAAGAAAAAACTTTAAATATCTTCTTTTAAAAAACCTTAAGAGCTAGAGCTTAGATATTAAGCATGAAACATCTTCTAGTGAGTGTCTACCAAGATTGTTCAAATAAAAGCCCTGGGGTCAAAATTGGCCCCGCCCCAGGGGGTCATTGATTTTCCCTATATGCATATAGTAAAAACTTAGAAAATCTTCTTTTAAAGAACCCAAAGAGCTAGAGCTAAGATATTTAGCATGAAACATCTTCTAGTGAGTGTCTACCAAGATTGTCCAAATAAAAGCCCTGGGGTCAAAATTGGCCCCGCCCCAGGGTGTCATTGATTTTCCCTATATGCATATAGTAAAAACTTAAAAAATCTTTTTTTAAAGAACCCAAAGAGCTAGAGCTAAGATATTTAGCATGAAACATGTTCTTATCGGTGTCTACCAAGTTTGTTCAAATAAAAGCCCTTGGGTCAAAATTGGGCCCGCCCCAGGGGGTCATTGATTTTCCCTATATGTATATAGTAAAAACTTAAAAAATCTTCTTTTAAAGAACTCAAAGAGCTAGAGCTAAGATATTTAGCATGAAACATGTTCTAATGGGTGTCTACCAAGTTTGTTCAAATAATAGTCCTGGGGTCAAAATTGGCCCCGCCCCGGGGGTCATTGATTTCCCTTATATATGTGTATAGCAAAAACTTAAAAAGTATTCTTTGAAAAAATCTAAATAGCTAGAGTTAAGATATTAAGCATGAAACATCTTCTAGTGAGTGTCTACAAAGTTTGTTCAAATAAAAGCCCTGGGGTCAAAATTGGCCCTGCCCCGGGGGGTCATTGATTTTCCTTATATGTGTATAGGAAAAACTTAAAAAACATCTTTGAAAAAACGTAAATAGCTAGATTTTAGATATTAAGCATGAAACATGTTCTAGTAAGTGTCTACAAAGTTTGTTCAAATAAAAGCCCTGGGGTCAAAACTGGCCCCGCCCCAGGGTTGTCATTGTTTTTTACTATATGTGTATAGTAAACCCTTAAAAAATCTTCTTTATAAAAACACAGTGAGCTACAGCTTAGATGTTTAGCATGAAACATCTTCTTATGGGTGTCTACCAAGTTTGTTCAAATAAAAGCCCTTGGTTAAAATTGGCCCTGCCAGGGGTAGGGGAGGGCAGATCATTGTTTTTCATTATAAGTGTGTACATCATGAAACGTCTTCTTATAGGTGTCTTCCAAGTTTGTTCAAATAAAAGCCCTGGGGTTTAAACTGGCCCCGCTTCGGGGGCCTACATACAGGTGAGTGACCTGAGGGCCATCATGGCCCTCTTGTTTTGTATTCATGTTGTATAAATAAATTGATTATTTAAAGAAAGGAATAAAAAAACAGTGCTTGTAGATAATACAAATTTGAAAATATTAAACATAAAACAGTCTTTTTAGACAAAATCCCAATGATATAACAGGTTTAAAATACTAATATGTAGGTTTTGGTTTGGTTTGTTTTACAAAACTATTTCATTTCATGTCAGTTATCATAGATTTCAATCAAAAAGGAAGTATCATGCACAATGTTTTTGTTTAATATTAATGGGACATTTTTAAATAACATTTAAAAAGATCATTTATCGTGATTTTGTTTGTTTGGCTATCAAGTTGGTTTATTCTTTCTTGAGGAAAATGTAGGTTAAAGACTTATAAGTGTTTTGTGCATCCTTGTTTTGTGTAGACCTTGTCAAATGCATCATTAAGGCACGTATGTTAAAAGCTGTGACAAAACTGTTCAACACAGTAACATTTACCATATAAGTGAATAGTTCTTGTATACCATCAACCTTGTGTTCTTTGGGTAATTTCTCTTGATATGAATTAAATTTCGTTGTTGTGTGCAGTGGATGATCGTCTTTTTGTAACTTTTTTTGGACAAAGAATATATCAGTATATCAGTCTGTGACTTTTTTGTGTTCACTTTATTTTTAGAAATATGAAATGTAATTTTGATAATTTAATTTGTGAAAAGCATTTCAATTGGAGTAACCTTTTAAGTTTATATAGACAAAGAAAACGTGTTAAATTTTGTCTTGTATGTCCCTGCAATGCACATGTTATGTGGTTCATTATATTCGGAATCATTGATGCCAGCACTATTAAGTGTTGAGAATTGAGTACCGCTCAAGCCGGTGCTAGGGAGCGTGAGGGATGTTGCACTTATTCAGTATCCCTCATGTACAGACTCAATCAAACCAAGTCTGCAATTCTCTTGTAATTTTGTTGTGATTAATGCTTCCGAGGGATCACTTTGTTTCCAGATTTTTGTTTACTCTTGTGGTGGAGACTTCAAATAATGATGTTTTTTTATTATTGTTAATAAGTCTTTATCTTGGGGATTACTTAACTTATATTGAGTTGTATAAGAAAAACATACTGAAATGTATTTGTGTGTTGTTTCTTTTTGTTTGTACATTCATAGAAACAGAAATAAGGCTGCTGTTTAAATTCTTCTTACTGGCCAAGCATTTGTTTTTGTGTAAAAGTCAATTTTATTAAAATGCTATCCAGCAATATATTATTATTTTCACCTTTACTTGTTAATATCCACGATGCAAGTCTGAAATCAAGGGCAGATAAGTCTGCCAAGAACCTTTCATGTCCGGGATGCACATGTTCTAGTATGGTGAATGTCAGGCGAGTGTGTGGCGGGGAAAAAACTTTGGGTGGCGGGGAAAAACTTTGGGTGGCGGGCGGGGAAAAAACTTTCATAACAGTTTTCTCAGCAACTAATTATCACAGCCTCTTAATATTTGGTATACAGCTTTAACACGTAGTCCCATACTGTGGTGTTCGATTTCAGGTCTGTCGCTCAATTTTCGACATGAATGGTCAATGGTAGGAAATTTTCATAACAGTTTTCTCAGCCTCTTCATATTTGGTATACAGCAGTAACACATGGTCCCATACAATAGGATTCTATTTCAGGACTGTCCTTCATCCACTTCCTTTTTACAGACTTAGTTAAATTTTCGACATTAATGGTCAATGGTAGGAAAGTTTCGTAACACTTTTTTTCAGCAACTACAGCCTCTTGATATATGGTACCGGTATACAGCATTTAAAGGTGGTCCCATACCTTGGTATTCGATTTCAGGTCTGTCGCTGATCCACGTCCTGTTTACCGACTTAGTTAAATTTTCGACATTGATTGTGAATGGTTTAAAATATTCATAACGTTACTGAGACTCATGATATTTGGTATACAAATGCAACCCAGCCATTTCTGTCTTTGACTCATTTTTGCAGATTTATGCCCTTTTTGTGTCGCCTTGAAAAAGGCGACATATAGGGGTTACTTTTGTCGGCGTCGTTGTCGTCGTCATTTTCGGTGTCGTCGTCGGCGTCCCCTAAAGCATGCCGGAGCATAAGTCAGTCATTATAAGTCGGATTGACTTCAAACTTGGTATGCATGCTTCTCATAATGACCCGAAGTGCAGTGCACAAGAACCGGTACTCTGCACTTCTTATTTTTTGAGTTATTGCCCTTTGTTAATTTTCATACTTTATTTTTGTCCAGGCCATTTCTCCTAAAGTATAAAAGCTATGGACTTGAAACTTCATAGGATGACAGATCTCATTAAGAAGAAGTGCAGTGCACAAGAACTGGTACTCTGCATTTCTTATTTTTTTGAGTTATTGCCCTTTGTTAATTTTCATACTTTATTTTTGTCCAGGCCATTTCTCACAAATTATAAAAGCTTTAGACTTGAAACTTAATAGGATGATAGATCTTATTGATAAGAAGTGCAGTGCACAGAAACTGCTGATCTGCATTTCTTATTTTTTGAGTTATTGCCCTTTGTTGATTTTCAAATTTCATTTTTGTCCTGGCCATTTCTCTTAAACTATATTGTTCACAAGGCGACACATCTGACTCGTGGAGTTCTAGTTTCTTTTATAATCTCCAGTTCTGAGAAAAGTGCTGCCCTCATATAGCTTATATTTGTTGATTTGTGTGATTCTACATGTAGTATATTTCTGTTTGGGTCTACATATATTATGTTTCTGTTTTAGAACTTAGAAGGTGACGACCATAAATCAATAAGACCAGAGTTGCTGTATGTACGTGGGAGAATGTTTAAACAAAAATTGAACATTGATCAGGTAAAGGTTAGCTAACTAGTTGTTCTATTTATATTTTTTATAAGTAAATTTAGTGTTTTCTTTCATGATTTTTGCTTTAACTATAAACAAAATTGATTTTGAACAAAGAATGTTTAAATGTTGAATTAAGCCGGTGCTAGGGGCGTGGACGGTAACTTGCACTTTCCAGTACCGTCCATGAACAGGCTCAATCAAACCGAGCCTGCAACATTTTCAATTTTGCCGTGTTGTGCTTTCTTTAGGGATTCTGTGTTTATCTATTTTGCATGAACTCCTATCCATAAGTGTCCTGTAGAAGAAAACATGTGATTTCAATGGTCAGTGATTTTATCTTGGTGACTGCTTTTCACCCACCCAGAAATTACTTTTCACCCACCCAGAAATTACTTTTCACCACCCAGAAATTACTTTTCACCCACCCAGAAATTGCTTTTCACCCACCCAGAAATTGCTTTTCACCCACCCAGAAATTGCTTTTCACCCACCCAGAAATTGCTTTTCACCCACTGAGAAATTACTTTTCACCCACTGAGAAATTACTTTTCACCCACCCAGAAATTGCTTTTCACCCACCCAGAAATTACTTTTCACCCACCCAGAAATTACTTTTCACCCACTGAGAAATTACTTTTCACCCACCCAGAAATTACTTTTCACCCACCCAGAAATTACTTTTCACCACCCAGAAAATTGCTTTTCACCCACCCAGAAATTGCTTTTCACCCACCCAGAAATTGCTTTTCACCCACTGAGAAATTACTTTTCACCCACCCAGAAATTACTTTTCACCCACCCAGAAATTGCTTTTCACCCACCCAGAAATTACTTTTCACCCACTGAGAAATTACTTTTCACCCACTGAGAAATTACTTTTCACCCACCCAGAAATTACTTTTCACCCACCCAGAAATTACTTTTCACCCACTGAGAAATTACTTTTCACCCACTGAGAAATTACTTTTCACCCACCCAGAATTTACTTTTCACACACCCAGAAATTACTTTTCACACACCCAGAATTTACTTTTCACCCACCCAGAATTTACTTTTCACCCACCCAGAAATTATATTAGGTCTGTCTCAACCATTATTCATGGATAGTTGCCATGCAATCTAACAGTGTCAAATCATTGGTCACTTAGAGTATTAAATTTAATAAATAGTTTTATTTAAATTTGTTAATGTATTCAAATAAGTGTCGAGAATAGCTACTGGTCACAATTGAAGGTAATGTTTACTGTAACATAAAAGTTATCTCAGTCATTTGCTCAAGTTAATTCGAACTTGAAATCTGTGTGCATTACATAAAAAACTGTTCATGCGATTTTAATGTACATGCACTTAAATATTTTTTCATAAACCCTGAACGTACTTATGTACATGCTATTGCTAATGATGATTTTTAAAGGAGATCAGTAGTAAAAAATGAAATTCTTACACAGAACAAATAAAGCATTGCAAATAGACAAAACTGCAAAGGATAATAAAGAAAAACTCTCATAACGAAATTAAACATCAATTACTGTCCTAGGATGATAATTTGGTCTTAACGGTACATGGGAAAGTCCACAAACTGGGTTATCTGGATTATTATCCGATATCGTAAAAGTAAACACTTACATATACTAAATACCATTATTTGTGTATTACCGTTATGGCTCTGTCGGTATATCGAAAATATTGTAACTTTTAGTGGTTTGTACTCATAGGTTCGAACCCCACGTAGTGCCATTTTATAACCACATTTTTTTTATTCTTGCTCTGTTTTTTTATCATTATAATTATTTATTTATTTTCGTTTTCCTTTTTGTTTTCGTCTTATAATATATATTTTTATCTTATAGTATATATTTATTTATTTTTATTTCTATTCTTTTTTCATTTTGTATTTTTTGATCGCAGTGTAATAAAATATTCGAGCTCATATACATGTATGTTTATGGAAAAAAAACTGTCAAACCTGTTTTCTGAATAATTGACTGCTCGGAGTTCCCTTTAAATATATAAATAAAAGCCCAGGTCAACCTGCATGTCTGAGTTATCCATCCAGTCACCCAGGCTGCTGAATTTTATTATTTTCTGAAATTCTTGTTAGGCCTAAAGTCACAAAACCGTCCCAAATTTAAAAAAGAATGTGGTCTTAAGTTTATAACTTTGTTGTGTCTGTTTTTACTCCGATTTGAACATAGTCTAGTCATTTTTGGCACTACAATGGACCAACTCAACAGCTTTCTTTGATAGCAAACACAAATCCTATTTTTTCTGCAGGTGTCCAATTATACCTACATAATTTCTTAATCAGCTGTGAGATATAATTGACTATTAGACATAATGTCAGTTCAAACTGAATGTCAGTTAAGGATGCCTACATGATTCATAAAATTTATACATATATTAATTGGTAATGTTTGTGATAACTTCGTCATAAAATTGCTGCACACAAATACGAGGGTTGTTCGGGAAGTTCTGAGAATTTTGTCATATCTCCTATATTTTTTGTTTCTAAGACGTAATATTTTGCACATACTTAGATTAGCATATCACAGAACTATTTCTAAAAATTGAATAGAATCAGACAACAATAGCTGGATATAGCAGTAACCATAGCAACACTATAACGCCGCACCGGAGCAGCCCGACTCTAAAGAAGGGTAACGCGCTACACTAATAATATTTTGTAATTTTGATAACGTAAAAAATGCGCGAAAACGCTGGTCAGCAGCGGAACGTTTTGACGTCATTTCCTGAAAATATCATAACGTTATTTAAATTCTCAACGGATCAACATTGTTTTAAAGTTGTTGCCCAGAGCCACTGAGTAAACAACATGGCGTCGATAGGTGACGTTGAAATGCGAAGCATCGTGAAATTTTGTGTTGCGCTGGAAAAGTCTTCCACAGAAACAATGAAAATGATCAATTCTACAGGGAAATACTAGAAATGCAGTCCGGCTACAGTGTATAGATGGCATGCTCGTTTTAAAGAAGGAAGAAACTCGATCGAAGACGATCCTAGATGCGGTCGGCAGTCTGTTGTTGCATGTTCAATTAAGGACTCGGTAAAAGACATGATAAATTGGGACAGGAGAATGACAGTTTAGAGCTATTGCAGATGAACTTTGCGTATCAGTTTCTACTGTACACGGAATACTAATATTAAAGTGGATCAGCCGACACAGGAAATGCATCAAAATTGCAGGTGACTACGTTGAAAAGGTGCGACGATCAATGGACTTTAACGTCGCATGACGTTGCAAATGACGTCGGTGTGCTCCGGGTGTTTGTTATATGGTTATTTACTATTTTTATTATGTTTTAGTTTCTGTGTGTATGATAATGATATTTTCAGATACTGTACAGTATATATTGAAATAAATGCGTATATATTTATATTTATGCTAACCCGACTACAACGTGTGCTATAAAACAATTCTCAGAACTTCCCGAACAACCCTCGTATTAGACTAAATGTCAGAGTTCAGACTGAATGCCAGTTCAGTTATCACAGAGAAATTTAGCCTGTTCTGAGGATCAACCAAGCAACACCTGAATAACAAATCCTATGTGCTCAATGTTAAACTAAGCAGGTGAATTGAAGAAGGAAAATGTAGATATGAAGACCGTGTCTATAATATTATATTATAGTTGTATAGAGAATAATTTTATCATACTTGTATTGTCACAGTTAGCAAAATGGTTCTCCCCCTATGGTAATGTGGATGTGAAAGCATATGGCCAAAATAAAGCATTGGTTGCTACATCAAACCACTACTGGTAAGACATTCTATTCTGTTTTTATTTTTTTGTGCCCTTTCAAAGTCATGATATGTGAATAACTAATTTATTTCGACAATATTTTGTGTTAAGAATACTAAATGCCAATATAAATGTTAAATAAATACAGTTATTTTGTAGTAAAATTCATATGCCTGAAAAAGTACACTAACATGTCACAAAATCTACATATAGTTGACTGGAAAACCCAACGAAAAATAAAAATGATATTAATAAATTTCTAATGAAATTTTATTTTGTCTCCACACATAACAAAATTTTTGGTTAGATATGGGAACAGTAGACTGTTTTGACTGAGAAATTGATTACAGAACAACAGTTGTCTAATATAACACACTATTTAAAGCCCATTCAGAATTTAAGCTTTTGATAATTACTGAAAATCTCAAAAGTTATAAATAACAAAACTTTTTTAATTCATTTATTTTGTTTGTATTATTCTTGGATAATACTACTAATCTATGAAATGACACCATCTACGTCATGTATTATCCAACAAAATCTCCAAACTGAAGAGTATCAAAGAATGACGAATTATGTTCTCATGTTATAATATATAAGACCAGAGTTATCTTCTTGAATACTTAA